CAGAATCAGCTACCACTACTCAGGAACTACCTTTCACTGTAAATCCATTTTCAGACTTATCACCGCCAGTAACACATATCGATAGGACAACAGAAAACATACCAACCAGTGAAGCAATTGAAACGATGCTTACAACAGTAAACGAAATTACTCAGACCGCAGGATCGATGTCTGAGAATGTATCTGCTCCCCCATCATTCCCGGTATCATCGCCCACGATACTCTTAGAAACCAGCACCGGCTCCTTCAAATCTGACTTGCCGTTCACAGAATCCTCTACAAACACGACTTCAAATGTTTCCCTAACATCATTTCCAGAATCAGAACAAACTACTCCACGAACGACAGAATCAGAACAGCTAACTGCAAAAACATTATCTTTACCAAATACACCTATAACTGATAACACTAGTGTTCTTCCGACTCCGCCACTTCCAACACCATTCCAAACTACTACCGCTGAGCTGGAATCCGAACAACCAGGATCAGAGCTCCCACCAAGCAAAACTGTCAGGGATAGCACCACCACTCATTACTCTACGATGTCTTTTTCCTCAGAAACCATCTACGTTACAACATTTGAAACTGCATCAGAACAACAGGGGACAGGCACAACAGCTTCATCTGACGCGCTTACCACTGATAATAACACTTCTACATTTTCACTGGAGACACCTCCTCCAGAACCGGACCATACGATAACAGAAGTTTCAGGATCAGAATACTCAGGATCGGAAACAAGAATCTCATCAAATGGATTCACAAGCAGTAACACTACAGAGATCCATTCAACGGAGTCGCCTTCTTCAGGATCAAATTTCACCTCAACAGAAAAGTCGAAATCAGAACAGTCGACACTAGACGAATCTTCCACTGGTAGTATTTTTGTCTCGTATTCCCCTGCGTTACACTCGGAAGTAGACCGCACAGGTACGGGAGAATATGGATCAGAAACCATAATTCCATCGAGCGAATCTTCAACTCGCAATACCATCGCATCGGAGTCGTTCCCTACAGAACCAATTTACACCACTACAGAAGAATCGCAATCGCAA